TTCCAGTGCCTTTCTGCTGTGATTGGGGACAAAATGGTCTTCACAAAATAAGATTGAACCACAATTAGATCTTTCTTTCTTTTTTTTTACATGAAAGCACCATGATCTCAGCTCAGGTCAAGGCCAGAAATCCCTTTGGGATTTTTAGCTAAACTGGTCACCATCTTATTGTGCCCTCTTTTGTTCTTGGGCGTCTCTGAATAGCTCTTTTTAAAGTATATGCAGGGTACTGACAGAACTTTTGAAAAAACCCTCGCATAAGTAGCTCCCTTTTTTTGTCTTTCCGCGGAGAAGATTTTTCGACGTTTGAAGACGCTAGTAATCTTAAGCTCGACTTGATGAAGATGAATTCCACGTCAAATTCCCCTTTGACGTAATTATGTGGTTGCCTTGAAATTCCGCGGAAAGTCTGGGTATGATTTGATTTTGTAAAGTGTTTCATATCTTGCATTTTTTTTTTACCAGTGATGACTCGTTGAAACGATTGATTCCGAAAATAGTTTCTAGCTCATGATGAGGCATAAAATGGTATCTGTTGTAAAAGCAAAGGGAATAATTAACTGCCAAAGAAAACTAAATTTTGTATCTGATGTTTTTTCCTCTAAGGAATAAATTCGAAGAAATAAACCCGCGTAAAAAGTTGCGATGGATTTTTTTTCAACGTTTTCCGAAGCTAAGTGTTTCAATCTGTGATAAAAACGAATTCGACGCTTGCGAAATTTTTATGTGAAAAAACGATTTTTATAAAAAATTAAAAAAAATCAATTTATAANTTGTTGTTGTTCTGTCAGGGTGTTTTCTGCTGCTGTTGGGGACAAAAAGATCTCTGCAACATGAAATTTATAAGAAAAAAATGAATCAGGTTAAAACTATAGATTGAACTAATTTAGTTAAAAAAAATGAAAACACAGTCCAGGGAAAGTCCAGAAACCCCTTCAGGAATTCGAATAAAGCTGGCCACCATCTAGTAACTCCTTTGTTCCTGGGCGTCTCTTTATAATGGGTACAGTAATGTACTATAGGGACAGGGATGATGGGGTTAGTTCAAAAGTTGTTGTTGTTATGTCAGGGTATTTTCTGCTGCTGTCGGGGACAAAAAGATCTCTACAACATGAAATTTATAAGAAAAAAATGAATAAGTTTAAAACTATAGATTAAACTAATTTAGTTGAAAGAACGAAAAAACAATAATTAGTTCATGGCAATGCCAGAAACCCCTTCAGGAATTTGAATTAAGCTGGCCACCATCTAGTAACTCATTTGTTCCTGGGCGTCTCTTTATAATGGGTACAGTAATGTACTATACTATAGTCCCTGTCCCTATAGTAACTATAGGGACAGGGATGATGGGGTTAGTTGAAAAATTGTATTTGTGTCAGGGTATTTTTTGCTGCTATTGGGGACAAAAACGTCTCCACAACATAATATTTAGGGAAAAATGAATTAGTTTAAAATTATAGATTAAACTAGTCAAAAGAATGAGAAGACAATGATTAGTCCAGGGCAAGGCCAGAAATCCCTTCAGGAATTCGAATAAAGCTGGCCACCATCTATATAATACTGTAACTCCTTTGTTCCTGGGCGTCTCTTTATAATTACTGTGCTATTGGGACAGGGATGATGGGGTTAGTTCAAAAGTTGTTGTAGTTGTAGTTGTGTCAGGGTATTTTCTGCTGCTGTTGAGGACAACAAAAAAGGTTTCTATAGCAGAATATTCAAGAAAAAGTGGATTAGTTTAAAACTTTAGATTAGGCTGATGAAAAGAATGAAAACACAATGATCAGCCCAACATGTCAAGGCCAGAAATTCCTTCAGGAATTCGAATTAAGCTGGCCACCATCTTGCACTTTTCTTTTTCCTGGGTGTCTCTTTATCATGGTTACTGTACTGTATAGGAACAGGGATCATGGGGTTGGTTAAAAATTTGAAGTTTTCATGTCAGGGCCTTTTCTGCTGCTCTTGGGGGACAAAAGTGTCTCCATGCACAACATGAGACTGAATAGGAAGTGGATCTTTTTATGATGAAACTGAAGAAAATGCATGATAAGCAATGATCTCAGATCAAGGAAAGGCCAGAAATCCCTCTAAGATATCTAAAACCAAGCTGGCCACCATCTTCTGCACACAGGAAAGGGGTTAGTTCAAAAGTTATTATGCTGGGGTCTTTCTGCTTTAGTTAGGGACAAAAAGGTCTCCACAGCATGAGATTAAAACAAAAAGTGGATTTGTTAAATATGAAACTAAAGGAAAAATGAAAACACAATGAACAAGGCCAGAAGTCCCTTCAGGGTTTATAATTAAGCTTCCCACAATCTTATTGTGCCCCCATTCATTCCTGGTCATCCCTTAATGATGGGTTATTTCAAATAATGTTTTTGTTATTCCAGTGCCTTTCTGTTGTGATTAGGAACAAGATGGTCTTCAAAATATAAGATTGAATGAAAATTGGATCTTTTATTTTTTACATAACAGCATGATCTCAACTCGGGTCAAGGCCAGAAATCCCTTTGGGGTTTTTAGCTAAACTGGTCACCATCTTATTGTGCCCTCTTTTGTTCTTGGGTGTCTCTGAAGAGCTCTTTTTAATGTGTACAATATATGAAAGGTACTGACAGAACTTTTGAACCAACCCTCGTATATAAGTATAGCTCCCCTTTTTTTGTCTTTCCGCGGAGAAGATTTTTCGACGTTTGAAGACGCTAGTAATCTTAAGCTCGACTTGATGAAGATGAATTCCACGTAAAATTCCCCTTTGACGTAATTATGTGGTTGCCTTGAAATTCCGCGGAAAGTCTGGGTATGATTTGATTTTTTTAAAGTGTTTCACATCTTGCATTTTTTTTTTACCAGTGATGACTCGATGAAACGATTGATTCCGAAAATAGTTTCTAGCTCATGATGAGGCATAAAATGGTGTCTATTGTAAAAGCAAAGGGAATAATTAACTGCCAAAGAAAACTAAATTTTGTATCTGATGTTTTTTCCTCTAAGGAATAAATTCGAAGAAATAAACCCGCGTAAAAAGTTGCATACCTAAAAAAAAGTTGCAAAAGGCTTCGATTCACAAAGTTAGACACTATTTTTGCTTAAGCTGCGAACGCTTTAAAAATACACTTTTTTGCTAAAAATATTTTTTAATTTTTTTTAGTTAAATATTTTTCACAGGATAATTTGACGGAATCATCTTCATCATAATCATCATCGGATGAATCACTTCAATCCATCAGCAATGATTATCTTTGTGCTTGCATTTTTATCCTAACTTCAAAAATGTCGATTTGATATGAATTGTGAATTATATTTTTGGTTTCCGTGAGAATTTCTTATTTGATCAAGCAAAATTTTTTTTTGGGATCTGAAAAATATTTTATAGTCTCCAGTTCATCAGCCGATGCATTGAATGTTTTTTTTTTTTATCCTCGAACATGAAACAGTTCAAATTTTATCCTATTTTTTATAACATAGTACAGTATTTCCATTGCTTAAAACTTTACCTATTTAATCCTGCGCTGATTATGAGGAACCGTAGGACTTATTTTAAATGAATTGTTGGATAAAATTATTCGTTACATGTGGCTCTTGATGAGTAGCTAAAATTTTATGGCTGAATTCTTAAATTAATCTGGTATAATAAGAACCAGGATGAGAAGAGATGACTGAAAATTCTTGGGAAGTTTGGGTCGCATTTTTTCTACCGCATTTTTTCCCCTTCGGAATTTTTCTAATGAAGTGACTCGATTGAACGACAAAGTTTCAAGTTTTATTCAAAGCTCTTCATGAAGATTCATCGACGTTTTCAATGGCAATGTTTAGGTGAATCTGTTGATTAATTTTTCTTCTGTCCGTTCATGGATTGTGTTTTTTTTTCTACGATCAGTTCATTGATTCCTTTTTTTGTCAGATTGAGAATTTTCTTTCGCTTTCGTATATAGAGAATTTGAATAATCGAGAAGTCGTAGCTCAATTGAACGATTCATTTTATTTTAATTTTTTGCGGTTAATGAAATCCTTTTGACATTCTTGTTGACCTTCTTGAGGCAAATGGGAATTCAATGACTGAAAAGTTATTGTTGGAAGGTTGAGTGTATTTTCTCGTGTCGTATTTCTGTTTTAAAAAAAAGATACAATTGATGTTTCTGTCAACCTTTATAAGATAATTTTGGTTTTCATCAATGATTCAAAGTTTGTGCGATGAGTTGATGACGGATGACTGAAATTTTACAGGTTTTTTTTGTGTGTCAGATTTTTTTTATCCCTTGTTCGAGTTTTTATTTTTAGAGACTGCCTTATTTTAATTGAGTCCCTGCTCCAGAATTATTCTAAATTTTCGGAAATTTGGTAGTTAATACTGTCACAATATTGAATCAATGAAACGGTGATTTGTGGCTGATTTAAAATTTATTCAACTTTCAGCTCTTTTGATAAGAATCCGAACTTCGTAAAACACAAACGTAAAATTCGCTACAATTTTATGATGAATACTGACTGGCATTTTTTCTCTCGCAAGTTCATCTACTCAAGTTAGACCCACACTTGAGGTTTTTAGGTAAAAATTTAGAAAAGAATTGTTATCCCTGCATAGAACGTGCACATATAAGTTTTCGATTACCAAAATACTTATTTGAAAAGCTGCATAGTAAGGTAAAAATCTTAATTTAAAATAACTTGAAATTCAATCTCATATTTTTATTGTTTTGTATTAATAAAATAGAGAACCCCGAAAAAATGATGAAAGTGCGGAGGAAAATTTCCAACCAAAAAATAAATAAAAAAATATTCACTTTTCCCTCTTCAATGTAGGAATGTATTATTATGGAAAATACGGTCATTACTCGACTGAAAGATTGATTCAACGATTATTCGTGACTTGACTTAAAAACAAAAATGAAAAAAAACCACGGTGATTGGTTTGAAAATTCGCTAGGTAGAATGTATTTCAACTTCCGGTGTTTTATTTTTATTTTTCTTCTTCTTCAGGATTGATACTTGCATAGTCGGCGATGACAGTACATGCAAAGCAGAAGAGAATGAGTCTTGCCGAACCGTGTTTGGCGTGTCTTCTTGCTACTGCAGACCGGGTTATGCGAGGAAAAAGCACAGGGAACCCTGCAAAAGTGAGTCACACACGCGAATTTCTCTGATTTTTATTATTTTTATTTTTTTACATTTTAAAATCCCAACGAATTTCATGTCCCAAACCTCAATCTTTTTTCTTTTCTTTTTTTTTTGCAAAATTATTCCGTTTACAGCGGTGTCTAGAAACGACTAAAGGAACTTTCACCTGGCCTACCTCTCGGCCTTCGACAGAACCTTAAAACGAAATTTACTGGGCCTAAGACTTCTTATGGTTGCAGACCTTATGCTTAGCCTTGTACGCCATAAATGTATTTTTTTCAAATATTTATTTATATTTTTTGCTGAGATTTGTTTTTTTCCTGCACCTAGAAGACTTATGCCAAACTTAGGCTATTTCGGTGAAATTGACAAGAACGCACAAAAAAATTCTTGAAAAATCATAGGCTCGTGAAAAGCGGACAAAAGCAAAAAAAAAAATTATATTCTACGCTTTTTTTTTCTTGGGTAATTTCTGGGGAAAATCAATGGCCACATACTCGATTTGTTGCAATTGCAATATTACCGGCTGAATACATATCAATTGAAAAAATGTTAATGTGATAAATAGCCTTATTCGTGAAAATGGCCCGTGGTAACAAAAAAAAATATTATTATAAATATATATTTTTCTAAATTTGATGTGAATATTTTCTTCAATCGACCTACTTTTTCGCCTTCTGGTGGCCATTTAAAGAAAATTGTCTGTTTGAAATGCGAAGTATAACTTGCCATTTCGAACCGGCCGTTTTATTCCCGTTGTCGTAATAATTTTTGCCTAACGGTCTTTTTTCATCACGTTCAAGTTCTGCAGTAAAATTCCGTATTTTAAGTTATTGGAATTTGAAAGCTCATGAAATTTCCAGACCCCTTTCTTTTCATCGAAATTTTCGGCTAAAAGTCACTAATATATTGGTGCAGTAATAAAAAAATAATAATCGAAGCATGAACACAAAGGCCATTAAAAGTCGAGAATCAGGATCTTCATGTTGGATTTTTATGTTGAGCAATTCGAAATCGAAAATGACGATGATGAAAATGCCCAGACTTTCCATCAGTAATTTTTTGGGATCAGGTAATAAAAAGTATCAATGCATAATAAAATTTTTACCAAAAAAAAAGGCAGAAGACTTTCTGAATTGCTCAAATTGTAAAGACAAGGAGATGTAAAACCTTGGTTTCATTTTCTCTTTTTTTCTTGCATTTTGAAAGAAAAAAATTCTCAAGTTTCAGTTCAAAACTTTTTAAAATTTGGGCATTTTTCGGGCCAACTAATTTCGATTTGGGAAATAATTTCGTAATGTGAGTCTTTCCTTATGCGGGGACTTACTGTACGTATACCGTATTTTACTCAAGTTAAACCCGCACTGCAGAAATTTAGGTAAAAATTTGGAAAAAATGTTTATCCCCCTGCATAAAACGTGCACCTATATAAGTTTTCGATTGCCAAAATTCCTATTTGAAAAGCTGTATAATAGGGTAAAAATCTCAATTTAAAATCATTTGAAAGTCAATTTCATTTTTTATTGTATTGTCCAATGAAATAGAGAACCCCGAAAAAATGTTTCGTGTGCGGAGGAAAATTTCCAACCAAAAATCAAAATGTCACTTGATAATTTGTACTCGACTTTGACTCGCACCAAGTTTTTTTTGCTCTGAAGGTTTTTTAAAAATAGTTGCGTAAATTATTTGTTTTACAGTAGTATTGTAGATCATTTTTATACCCAACCTTTTTGGTCCTGCGAACTGACAAATTTCAATGAACTTTTTTGCGGACTAGCAAAGTTTCATAAAAAATGTTTGCAGACTCAAAAAAGTTTTGTTTTCAAGACTTCATCGCAGGTATTTGAAAATTGTCCGCTTTTTGTTGTTGCGAAAACTGAGTTAAGAACAATTAAAGCAGCTTTGGTGGAATGTCTTCAAAAAATCAGTAAGGTTTCCTAGAATGAAAGATTAAAATACAGTGAGACCCCAACATGTGTGCACTCAACATGTGGACAATTCAACATGGGGACATTTATTTTTCAATTTAAAAAAAAAGGCGCAAGAAGGGCCCAACATATGGACACTGACGACATGAGGACATTGCATGATAAAACTGCCAAATAATTTCAGGAAAATTTACTTTTATTAGGCGCCGGTCCGCGGACCACGGGTTGACAAAACCTCAAATGTACAATATGTCTGAAATTCATGATCACCGTCCGTCATTCGTTTTATTTATTTATTTATTCAATTAATGATTTATTCATTAATTTTCTTCTTCAGTTGGAATCCGTGTTGCGTCGGACGCCTTACCGAGCCTTCTACGTGCGCACGGACGTGAACAACTTTTATCCGCTGGGGTCTCGCGTCATAGTGAACGCCACGGTGCGTTTGGAGTCCAATCCCTGATGACTGAAATTTTACAGTTTTTTTTTTTTTGTGTGTTAGATTTTTTTTATCCCTTGTTCGAGTTTTTATTTTTAGAGACTGCCTTATTTTAATTGAGTCCCTGCTCCAGAATTATTCTAAATTTTCGGAAATTTGGTCGTTATTACTGTCACAATATTGAATCAATTAAACGGTGATTTGTGGCTGATTTAAAATTCATTCAACTTTCATCTCTTTTGATAAAAATCCGAACTTCGTAAAAAACAAACGTAAAATTCGCTACAATTTTATGATGAATACTGACTGGCATTTTTTTCTCTCGCAAGTTCATCTACTCAAGTTAGACCCTCACTTGAGGTTTTTAGGTAAAAATGTAGAAAATTTTTTTTATCCCTGCATAAAACGTGCGCCTATAAGTTTTCGATTACCAAAATACTTATTTGAAAAGCTGTATGAAAGGTTAAAAATTTTAATTTAAAATCCCTTGAAAGTCAATCTCATACAGTATTTTTATTGCATCTTATTTATAAAATAGACAACCCCAAAAAAATGATGGAAGTGCGGAGGAAAATTTCCAACCAAAAAAACAAAATTTAAATTTTCCCTCTTCAATGTAGGAATTTATTATTATCGAAAATACGGTAATAACTCGACTGAAAGATACATTCAACGATTATTCGTGACTCGACTTGCAAAAAACAAAAAAAACCACGAAAAAAAATGAAAACAAATTGCCACGGCNATTATTCGTGACTCGACTTGCAAAAAACAAAAAAAACCACGAAAAAAAATGAAAACAAATTGCCACGGCGATAAACCCACGAAAAAAAAAAATAATTGTCACTGTGATTGGTTTGACAATTCGCTGGGTAGAATGTATTTCAACTTCCGTTGTTTGTTTTTTTTTCTTCTTCTTCTTCAGGATTGATACTTGCATAGTCGGCGATGACAGTACATGCAAAGCAGAAGAGAATGAGTCTTGCAGAACCGTGTTTGGCGTGTCTTCTTGCTACTGCAGACCGGGTTATGCGAGGAAAAAGCACAGGGAACCCTGCAAAAGTGAGTCACACGCGCGAATTTCTCTGATTTTTATTTATTTTATTTTTTTACATTTTAAAATCCCAACGAATTTCATGTCCCAAACCTCAATCTTTTTTCTTTTCTTTTTTTTTTTGCAAAATTATTCCGTTTACAGCGGTGTCTAGTTTGCTGATTTCCTTGAAAGTGGACCGGATGGAGAGCCGGAAGCTGTCTTGGAATTTTGCTTTAAATGACCCGGATTCTGAAGAATACCAACGTCTGGAATACGAATCGGAACATGCGGTATTTACATTTTTTTCAAATATTATTTTTTGCTGTGATTTGTTGGTTCCTGCCCCTAGAAGACTTATGCCAAACTTAGCCGATTTCGGTGAAATTGACAAGAGCGCACAAAAAAATTCTTGAAAAATCATAGGCTCGTGAAAAGCGGACAAAAGCAAAAAAAAAATGATATTCTACGCTTTTTTTTTCTTGGGTAATTTCTGGGGAAAATCAATGGCCACATACTCGATTTGTTGCAATTGCAATATTACGGGCTGAATACATATCAATTGAAAAAATAATAATGTGATAAATAGCCGTATTCGTGAAAATGACCCGTGGTACCAAAAAAAAAACTATTGATTATATAGTTTTTTTCTCTAAATTTCATGTGCATATTTTCTTCAATCGACCTACTTTTTCGCCTTCTGGTGGCCATTTAAAGAAAATTGTCTGTTTGAAATGCGAAGTATAACTTGCCATTTCGAACCGGCCGTTTTATTCCCGTTTTAATTTTTGCCTAACGGTATTTTTTCATCGCGGTTAAGTTCTGCAGTAAAAAATTCCGTATTTTAAGTTATTGGAATTTGAAAGCTCATGAAATTTCCAGACGCCTTTCTTTTCATCGAAATTTTCGGCTAAAAGTCACTCATATATTGGTACAGTAATTAAAAAAAGAAAGAAAAGAATCGAAGCATGAACACAAAGGCCATTAAAAGTCGAGAATCAGGATCTTCATGAAGGATTTTTATGTTGAGCAATTTGAAATCGAAAATGTCGATGATGAAAATGCCCAGACTTTCCATCAGTAATTTTTTGGGATCAGGTAATAAAAAGTATCAATACATAATAACATTTTTACAAAAAAAAGGCAGAAGACTTTCTGAATTGCTCAAATCGTAAAGAAGAGGAGATGTAAAAACCATGGTTTCATTTTCTCTTTTTTTCTTGCATTTTGAAAGAAAAAAAAAATTCTCAAGTTTCCGTTCAGAACTTTTTAAAAGTTGGGCATTTTTCGGGTCAACTAATTTCGATTTGCGAAATAATTTCGTAATGTGAGTCTTTCCTTATGCGGGGACTCACTGTGTATACCGTAGTTGGTTTTATTTTTATATTCAAAATTTTGTGGTTTTAAAGTCATTAAAAATTGAGGTGCGCGTCTTGCTGAGGGATAAGATTTTAGCAAAATTTCCAACTGAAAAACCCTTGTCCACGCCTTACTCAAGGGCACATGGTACTTGAGTACGTACAGCAGTCAAACCCCAATAAGACGCCAGCATTTGTCCAGAGCAATTTTGGCGGTTTAAAGGGGTTGGCGGTTTATCAAATATTTCATTTTAAATCATTTGATCAAAAATACTCGATTTTACTCCAAAAGTTATAGAGATACAGGTTTTCTGGAAACGTCAGTAATTTTCCAAAGAGTATTGCTGTGATCCATGGATTACTCTTCCAGAAAATTTATTTTGCTGCATCAATTTCTTCAAACTTTAACATTAGGTCAATATATTGTTCAAAATTTTCAACAAAAAAAGACCATTATTATTTTTTTATTTTTACAAATGCAAGATTCTTGACAGAAATTACAATTTAAAAACAATGTTGGCGTTGTAACGGAGACAAAAACAACAGAAAACTGCACTTTTGTTTCATCACGAATACTTCTTTAAAAAAATTTTTCATTTACAAATTTTGGGGTTGCCGAGGGTGGCGCTTTATTGGGGGGCGTCTTAACGGGGTTTGACTGTACAGTATATGAAATTCATAATCACCATCTTTCATTCGTTTTGTTTATTTATTAATTTATTTTCTTCTTCGTCTTCTTCTTCCTCAGTTGGAATCCGTGTTGCGTCGGACGCCTTACCGAGCCTTCTACGTGCGCACGGACGTGAACAACTTTTATCCGCTGGGGTCTCGCGTCATAGTGAACGCCACGGTGCGTTTGGAGTCCAATCCCATGACGACCACCACCAAGATCCGCCACGAGCTGAGGAAGCACATCACGGCGGCCATCCGCCAGTCCACTCCCGCATCGTCGTCGTCGTCGTCATCGTCGTCGTCATCGACAACAACGACGACTGGCAACGAGAGCAACAAGCTGGGCGACTCCGTGTTGGCAGTCGACGGCTTCTTGAACGCCATCCCTCAACTGGGTGGTGCGGAGAAATCATTCGAAATCTTTCATTTTTTTAAATCTTTAAATTATTAAAAGTATAAAGGATTTATGTACAAGTGAAACCCCGAGATGCGGACATAATGTGTGCATCAAGAGTGTCCCTAAGTCGAATTTTCCCTACGTTGAGTCTTGTTTCCCCATAGCCTTACATTCTATAATTTTTAATCGGTGTTTTATGGAAGAAATATTTTTCAGAATTCCCTGAAAAAAATTATTTGCCACTTGAATATGAATTAATGAATACATTTTCAACTCAATAAGAAAATTTGTAGAATTGAATTGTGCATCTCTGTACTGTACATTGAAATGTTGGCATTTACAAAAATAACATTCAAGTGAAAAAAAAGTGTAGGAGTCCTTCTATGCTGGAGGTAATTTTTTAAAATTAGCTAAATGGATGGAAAATTGGTGAAAGAAATGCCCAAGAACTTTTCTTACATCAATTTTAGGGTTGTAAATATCTGTTTCTTGTAATTTAGCCTCAAATGTATTTGCAATTTTATCACAAAATGTCCCTAAGTTGAGTCAGTGTCCTCATGTCGGGCCTTTTTCATTAATTTTTTTTCAGGGAAAATAAGTGTCCCTATGTCGAATTGTCCGCAGGTTGGGGTGTCCGCATGTGGGGGTCTCACTGTAATATAGAAAGAAAAAAAACAACGTTGCGGCGTAACATCTTCAAATTACTTAATGGAATATGAATTTTTAGTTTAAAAAAAATCCTTCTTAATTGACGTTTATTGAGGGAAGTTTTTGAAATTTTAAATTGCTATCGAATATAAAAGGAAAAAAAATCAGCGTTGAGATATAAACAATTTTAAAGTAAGAAAAATTTTGCTGAGTTAAACAATCGAGATCTGAGTTGAAAATTATTTCAACTCAGATCTTGATGAAATTTGTACCCTTTTTCGTCCAGCGAATTTCGTTTTTTTTTTTAAACGAAATTGATTTCGTCAGTCAAATTTTCTTGCCGATAAATAAAAAAAAAGTTGCGTTGTGCGTCTTTCGTTGTCCGAAGACCTCTTAATAATAAAGGAAAAATTAAAATTTTCTAATATGTCTTGCTGTTGCGTGTATCATCTTGTTCAAATTTTCATTTCATTTATTTTTTATTTTTTGCCCGCAAGATTTCAACGAATGCCTGGACCCGAAAACCAACGACTGCGATGAACACGCGGAATGCGAAAACACCTTCGGGGCATTTTCCTGCAAATGCAAGCCGGGTTACGTTGACAAAGACCCCTCAAACAAGGCCAGGGCTGGTCGCAAATGCCAAACGTGTTCCCCAGCTTTCTGCAACAACAGGGGCGACTGTGTGGTCAAGAATGGCGCACAAGTTTGCCAGTGAGTTGATCCAAAACAAAAACAAAAAAAAGAAAAAGATTTGCATTTAAAATAAATGTCCCACTCAAATAAGTATGACTCGAAGGATTGTATCTTCATGAGAGTCCGTAACTTCATTTTTTAAATACCGTGTGTTGTACATTTAGGTGCATAAGGAATAAATTATGTTTTAGAGATTGAAAGAAGGATTTTTTTAATTTTATAGCATGAACGTGATCTCATTTTTTTTTGTATATTTGCTGGTTTATCCAGTGAAATTTCTGGGATATTTTCCAAAAAATACGATTTGTGTTTCAACATATATTATTATTGGAAGTGTGGGGAATATTTAAAAGAGGCCATTAAAACCAATCACAGCGTTCATTAGCATTTTAATCGCTCTTGATTAGATTCGTTGAATAATTTTTTTATTCCGAACCCAAAAAATAATTAAGAAATTCTCCTTGCCCTGAAAAATCGCTGCTTATAGTTGTTGGTTTATCCAGCGAAATGTCGGAAATATTTTTGAAAAACGATTTGTGTGTCAACAGATATTATTACTGTAAGTGTAGGGAATATTAAAAAAAATATATTAAAGCCAACAGATTTCATCAACATTTGAATCGCTCATTTAGTTAGATTCGTTAAACAATTTTTATATTCCGAGCCCGAAAAAAAAATTAAGAAATTCCCCTTACCCTGAAAAATCGCTGTATACTGTAGTTGTTGGTTTATCCAGCGAAATGTCGGGACTATTTTTGAAAAAAGACTTGTGTGTCAACATATATTATTACTGTCAGTGTAGGGAATATTTTTAAAAATATCAAAGCCAACAGATGTCAGTAGCATTTTATTCGCTCACATGGTTGGATTCGTTAAATAACTTCTATACTCCGACCCACAAAAAAAAAATAGAAGAAATTCTCCCTGCAATGAAAAATCGCTGTATAGTTGTTGGTATATCCAGCGAAATGTCGGGAATATTTTCCAAAAACATTTGTGCGTCAACAGATATTATTACTGTAAGTGTAGGAAATATTTTAAAAAATATATCAAAGCCAACAGATTTAATTAGCATTTTAATAACTCATGTTTAGTTGGATTCGTTAAATAATTTTTATACTCCGACCCACAAAAAAAATAAACTAGAAGAAATTCTCCCTGCAATGAAAAATCGCTGCTTATATAGTTGTTGGTATATCCAGCGAAATGTCGGGGATATTTTTGAAAAACGATTTGTGTGTCAACAGATGTCGCGGGAGCTACTTCGGAGAAAGGTGCGAGATGGATGGAGAAGTGGTTGGGGTAGCAGTTGGAGCTTCGGTGGCAGCTGTCATCATCATTGTTCTCACTTTGGTGTTCCTCTGCTTGTGGAGGTAAAACCGCAAGAAGATCCAGAGAGAAACAAGAAGAAAGTCATCTCTCTCTCTCTCATTTAGTTCTCAAAAGGGAAAATTTTTTAATGGAAGATCGGTTGCGTCAAGATGGCTCGAAAGGAATAATGAAAAAAATAATAATCATTTGGAAATATTAAATGGAGCAGCTGAAACACGTATGGCTTTTTTTCCGACGATTGAAACTTTGGGTTTTAAAATCTAAATTCATAAGAAGGAAAATACTGTATTCACGTGAAGGAAATTTATGTATTTCTCTCTTGTCTTTTTTCTTTTTGATTGCGTAAAAAAAAATTTTAAACTTCATTATCGCGTTCAATGGTTTTGGCCTATTGCATCCCCGTTCAAATTTTTCTTGAACCTATTTTATTTCAAGTTTCGTTTTCTTTCCACGTGAACTGAAAAAAATCTGTGTAGATACTCGTATGCGAGGGATTTTTTTTTTCGATTTAAAAGGCATTTTAATACTAACTGGAACAATAATTTGCTTGTATCTGTTATTTCAATACCGTCAGGATATGTTTACTTTGTTTTAAAATATGATCCGATCAATTACTATGATTTATTTTTAGCTTTGTCGCAAAAGTATTTAAATCATTGCCTCAATTTTTAATTTTATATTTAATTTTGAAGTGAGACAAAATTGAATATGCAGTAAATGTACAGTACAGTACAGTAATGATAAAAACGGGTCCCTCTGGAGTCTAGACCAGTGAAACGATTTTACTTCCTCAAGAAAAATTAATGTTTATCGAAGTACATCAAATTTATTGATTTTGGTAAAGATAAAACGTTCTCTTTTCTGATAATGAACATAGTTATATGATTTCAATGGGAAAGAGTTGCTCTGTTGATAAGCTTCGAAGAAAGTTTCAGTGATGACAAAAAAAATAATAAAGTAAAGTTCTGAATTTCGCGTGAGGGCCTGGCTTTCGATTTTCTCCCAGTTTTTTTTTTTTATTAAATCACAGTACAGTATTTTTTTGCGATTTTTGTTTTCCAAAAGGACAAGAAATTATGATAAGTCTTGACGTATAATTTTTTTTAAATAAAATATCTTTTCTCTGATTGAAAGTTCAAAGAAACTTTCATTCAGATAAAATCTCGAATTAAGCATAGTGAACTGGTTTTTGATTTTCTTCAAAAAAATTTCATCGATTAAAGGACTCATTTCGAGATGTGATTTTTTAAACTTTCCGGATCAAATGAAAATAATGTTCTCCAAATTACTGCATTCTAAAGCGATTTATTTTTGGAAATTTCATAAACATGTTTTTTTAAATAATAAACATGGCTATTTAATGTTTTTTTGAAAAATGGTTGTTCTAAATAAAATTCTAAAATATGTTAAATTATGCGCACAAAAAAACCCTCGAAATTCCGAATGACGCACATATGGGAGAGGCTGGCTTTTGATTTACTCCTCATGTTTTTTGCGATTGAATGCCTGTTCAATTTATTTTTTATGCAATTGTTTTTTTTACACTCCTTCATCAGTCGCAAGTGGAAACGTGAGCAGGCCAAGTCAGATTATGCGCATACCTTCACATTCGTGAATCCGGGATTGTCAGGCCTGGCTGTGCTCAGCCAAAGACTCGGGGTCTCGGGACACGGACCTGGTGCCACTGGGAAAGGGGGTCATCCACCACCTTACAGAATGAACCCCATGGATGCCGACAGGTTGCATCCTGGGTACCACCCGGACCCGACCAACGCACTCATCCCTGGCCTGGCTCAGAATGTCTACGCTGTGAGTTTTTTTTTTTGATGATGATGACTGCTGATTATAAATGGATGCTGCGAACTGACTTTTAAATACAGTAAGACCCCCACATGCGGACACCTCAACCTGCAGACAATTCGACATAGGGACACTCATTTTCCCAGAAAAAATCCATAAAAAAGGCCTGAAATGAGGACACTGACTCGACATAGGGACATTTTGTGAAAAAAATTGCAAATACATTTCAGGCCAAATTACAAGAAACAGATATTTCAACCCTAAAATTGATGTAAGAAAAGTTCTTGGTCATTTCTCTCACCAATTTACCACCCATTCAGCTAATTTTAAAAAATTACCTCCAGCATAGAAGAACTCCTACACTTTTTTCACTTGAATGTTATTTTTTTTAGATGCCAACATTTCAATGTACAGTACAGAGATACACTATTCCCTGCTCCAAATGTTCTTATTGAGTTGAAAATGTATTCACTAATTCAAATTCAAGTGGCAAAAAAATTTTTCAGTGAATTCTGAAGAATATTTCTTCCATAAAAATTATTTAATGTAAGTTTATGGGAAAACAAGACTCAACTTAGGGACACTCTTGATGAACCAACTATGTCCGCATCTTGGGGTCTCATTGTACTTGTAATAGTATTTGTAGAAAATGTGTTTGGCACCTCATACCTGCTACTGAGCCTTTTAAAACCCTGAACATCACTGAAGTGCTATAAAAGTGAGATGGGGGAAAAAAGGGTGTTTGTCCCAGTTTAGTTGCAGTCAAACCCGGATTTAGTGCCATCATTTGTCCTGCCTCATTTTGTGGCACTAACTCAGTATTTTCTCACTAATTTTATTTTAAATTTATTTCAGCAACCTGAGCCGTTGATGCCGAAGCGGAGCCACACCCCGACGTCCCTGTACGCGTCCACCAACGTGGCGATGCACGGGCATCAAAACGCGGTGTACCACCAGCAAGCGGCGTCCATCAGCAATAATAAGCCGCATCAGGGGGCGTCCAAATTCCTGTCGCTGAAAAAGGACGCCCTGGGCTTCAGTCGTGCCACGCCGGTGTCGTTCGAGAGCAGCGAAGACGACTTGGACGACAGTGACGTGCTCACAGCTCGGGTCGGCTATGGCCACGCGGGGCTCATGGGCGGCGGCGGCGGTGGTGGTGGTGGTGGCGGCGGCGGCCATGGCCATAATAAGAGGCCCAAGTCGAGGACGTCTTACGCCACGGTAAATTTGCATTAATTTAGTTTTATTTCTTTCTTGAGCATATCTTTTTTTAATTTTTCAACGCGCCTGCTGAAAGCTTCAAAAATCTTATATTTTTCTACTAAAATTTTACCGTATGTGTGGTATTTAAAGTGTAGATGTCGCCACATAAGTCGAAACTCTTTCAATGGAAAATTATCTATTTATCGAAAATTATTCGATTGTAATATCGACGCGCATATACAGCGCAGAATAATTATAACTATCAATAGATTATGACCGAATAATAACTTATTGTGTGAAATTATAAAAAATGCCAAAACATTTGTTATTAAACATGCTGTGAATATGCAGGTAAATGACTTCTCAAACTCAAACTTCCCGACGTGAAATTTTGATTTCTTCTCTGAAGCCCTTTTCAAGTACAATATACGCTGTATATAAACCTCCAGTGTAGAAAAATAGCAAAATATTTTATGACATTTTCTCATTAATTTTTATTTTAATTTTAAAAAGAACTCCGCTCAATTGATGAAAATATTTTCTATATTTCTTTGAAGAAAACTAAACTTGAAAATTTTTAAAAACCACCATCAAGCTGGTACAAGAAACATATTATATTCTACATGTTAAAAAATTTAAGTTTTGAAACTCCCATGAGAATTTTAAGCAGAATTTTAAGCAAGCATAGTGATATAAGTGAGAAGGCGATTTTTTCTTTGGGAGGTGTGTTGATCCTGTGATTTTTTCGTTACGAAGTACAGTATTATTTTGAGTTACGTTTAATGAAAATTTTTCTATATATAACAAGAAGACCTATCTTCAGAAAATTTAAAAATCACCATGCAGGTATATATACGGCGGTACGCAAGAAATATAATATTCTATGCACAATAAATTTTTTTAATAAAATTTGAGGGAACTTGTTAAAAGTCGTTTTTCGACACTTTACTAACTCTTACGTTATACAAAAGAACACCTAACTAGGACATAAAAAGCAACTTTTCATGTCAACTTGGAGGGATAGTCGAATTTCTAGGGACCAGAAATTAGGGAGGCTCTGATTTTTTTGAGGTTTTGAGTAAAGGAAACAAATATTTTTGCTGCAAGGAAAATGGGAAATATTGTAGATAAGGAAATCCTGGGTAGGGGTTCATTTGTTCATTTAGTCCTTCACTTTATTTTGAAATGCATAAAATAATTTGTTTTGTTGATTTTTTCATTCATATATTTCAAGGAACTATAATAACCAAAGGCCTCAGAAAATTCGACTTACAGAGGTTTAAGAGAAAAATACTTCGAGTTACGGAGGTTTTCAATACATTGTTTCTATGGGAATCCAGACAGGGACTTGAAAAAAATTCGACTTAGGGAGGTATTAGACTTATTAGGGACGTTCGCGAGGTTCAACTGTATATATGTACGGGGTTATTTTTTGTTCGCTTCGTTTAAAACTGATTCAATCGTTTCTTACTTGCACGTATATATAGTGATGCACGTCATTCTGCGTTTCCGTTTTGTGTGACTGACCTTCGTATTTTCATTCTTCTCTATCATTTCCCCACTACAAAAACGACAACGACCACTTCGGCAGCAGAAGAGCCAGACTGGCATTTACTACGACGTGGACTTCCAGCACGGGGACATGTACTCGAGGGGCGGCGCCATGACACAGCCGGCAATACCCATGGCGACCTACACACAGAACTAAAAAAATTATTTTAAACTCCCTTGAACAATTTTCAGCAAAAAGCTGTGAAATGATTGAGAATGCAATATGTTTTCTTGTGGATTGATCCTGTATTTTTCGTTGAAAAGTACAGTTGAACCTCCCTACGTCGAATTTCTAGGGACCAGAAATTAGGGAGGCTCTGATTTTTTTGAGGTTTTGAGTAAAGGAAACAAATATTTTTGCTGCAAGGAAAATGGGAAATTGTAGATGAGGAAATCCTGGGCCTAAACTTGTAGGCAGGGGTTCATTTGTTCAATTAGTCCTTCACTTTATTTTAAAATGCATAAAATAATTTGTTTTGTTGATTTTCTCTTTCATATTTCAAGGAAATAATAACCAAAAGGCCTCAGAAAATTCGACTTACAGAGGTTTGAGAGAAAAATACTTCGAGTTACGGCGGTTTTCAATACATTGTTTCTATGGGAATCCAGACAGGGACTTGAAAAAAATTCGACTTCGGGAGGTATTAGACTTATTAGGGACGTTCGCGAGGTTCAACTGTGTATATGTACGGGGTTATTTTTTGTTCGCTTCGTTTAAAACTGATTCAATCGTTTCTTACTTGCACGTATATAGTGATGCACGTCATTCTTTGTTTCCATTTTGTGTGACTGACCTTCGGATTTTCATTCTTCTTTATTATTTCCCCACTACAAAACCGACGATGACATGGTGAAGCCGTCGTCTTCTCGGTCTGACCGTAAATGATGCTGCACCTGAAGGTCGTGCCCCTGTACATGAGCTCCCCGCCGCGGTACTGTGTCGGCCGTTATGGGTACCGCTGGATGTGTGTCTTGATACGCCCCTTCTACAGCTAGTTCCTTTCCCCTCACTCTTGGGCCATCCAACGACATTACATTATAACAGTACAGTGCTGCGTGATCCGGGTGTGAGGATGATGCTGATGAGAGGGCAGACGAACTGTGAGCTTGCTGGAAAAAATATGAGGATGCTGAGGGTTCTCTGTTTATTTGTGCTCCAACAAAAAATATACTGTACTGTATATATAAATAAATAAACAGGAGGATTGTTATGTTTTCTTTCATCCGCGCCTTCAGTACGCGCGAATTTCGATTCGAATTGAATTTGACTTGCGCAGGATTTTCTGATTAACTATAAATATTGTGTCTCTTTTTTGTACCTCTGTTGTTGTGAACGCGCTGCGTGGCTTGGAAAGCGCACAGAGCAGCTCATGAATATATATACTGTATTTCTGGAACCTTTTTCCTCTTGAGGGCATGCGATTCTTTTTGCCTCCAATGACAGTCCCCCATGTTGTAGAAAAGGAAAGGGGGAAGTTATTTTTGTTGTGATTGTACATGTAAATGACGCGCCTTGAGATTGTTGACCCTTTTATTTTGATTAAACAGAAAAAAAAACCTTTGTATGACATGTATGTGTCTTGAAACTGTTCAAGGTGAATCAAGTGACACTGCCAAAATGCGAGACACGCGATTGAGAAAGTTATGTGTATTTTGAAAAATTCCTGTGGAAGTTGGGAACACACAATTTGTTTGCCTCCTCTGTGGACGTTGAATTCCTGGAGAAGTTTTATTTATGCGACAGAAACTCGAGTTTAAAATGAAATAAAGCCAGATTATGAAAAAAAATTCTATTCATATGACTTGATTTTCCACTGAAACCACTTTACCACTACAACATCTTTTATTACTACTAGGAAAAAAGCGTAAAAAAAACGTCATTAAAGTGTGTGACTTTCTTCTACCTTAACGTAAAGACCTTTCGCTTAAGACCTTTTTGCAAGGTATGTAAATCTTTTGATATTTTGTGTCAGGTAATTATCACACACAGCAAGATTGACAACAGACCACAGTTTAGCATGCATGCTTCATGTTCTTCAATATGCCCAAGAGTTATTATACCACAGTTCTTCAGTTTTTACAATTGTTGGCTTATGTGAACCTCTTGAAGAAATATTTTGAGGCCAGTTTATGCCCATCAGATAAACACAAAATAAATACAATACTCTTTTATTATTGTTTCAGCAAGTTTATTGCTGGATGTGTTTGCTTAGATAATCAGAGATTTTATTAAAAATAAATTCAACATGAATTTAAAATTTATTTTATTTAAAGGCTATCAACAAAGTGTCACCTATGACATTATTCAGCAGCCATTTTGACAAATTGGTGACTTTGGTGAAATGGTGATGTTGTAGAAAATAATGATGATCCTTTTTTCGCGTTTTTTTTTTTTGCAGTAATTTCACACACTGAAAGAAGATGGAATTGCATTTCTGGAAAGCGAATTCTGGAAAAAACAAGGTATGTAAATCTTTTGATATATTGTGTCAGGTAATTATCACACACAGCAAGATTGACAACAGACCACAGTTCAGCATGCATGCTTCATGTTCTTCAATATGCCCAAGAGTTATTATACCACAGTTCTTCAGTTTTTACAATTGTTGGCTTATGTGAACCTCTTGAAGAAATATTTTGAGGCCAGTTTATGCCCAGATAAACGCAAAATAAATACAATACTCTTTTAATATTGCTTCAGCCAGTTTATTGATGTATGTGTTTGCTTAGATAATCAGAGATTTTATTAAAAATAAATTCAACATGAATTTAAAATTTATTTTATTTAAAGGCTATCAACAAAGTGTCACCTATGACATTATTCAGCAGCCATTTTGACAAATACTCAAGAGCATATATCATCTAAGCACATGTGATAGTCTAAATGCTCTGAAATGTTGTATTTTACAACAATTGAGATTATTACACTGTAACCAGTACTGCATATTGCACTCAGACTGTTTTCATTCCCTCCAATCATCAACGCCTTTAAGATTCCAAATTGAATATGCAGAAAATAAAAATCTTAGTACAGTACTGATGTACTATCAGGAGTTATAGAGGTTTAAAAGAAATCATCAGACTGATGATAATATATCATCTGAAGTATCAAATATCATAGCTGTTCCTAAATTAACTTATACATTCAGGAATGTGTCAAATAGAGTTGAAAATCAACATTTGTTCACAGACCACAGATTGAAGAACTATGGGTGACTCTATATATACACATCATGACCTGGGGAAGGATGGTAGAGTTGATGTGACATTGTCAATTTTAACAGCAACTGCAGAAATACTGTTGGCAAGCCTCTGCTTTGCTATTGGAAGCCAGCAGAAATGATCCTTGAACACTCTTTTGGATGAAGAGGAGGCTGATCTGATATTGGAAGTGCTTGATGATGGTGGGCAGTAGCAACAGCACAGGGCCAGTGCAAGGGTGTCAATGACAGCAGTGAGGACCCCAAGACAGGAAACAGATCCTGCTAAGGCATCCACAGTGTAACCAGGATGTCTGACAAGTGCCAAGTAGCTCAGTGTCAGCATAGCCAGTGTGGTCATCATGCTGAAGCCCACCAGAAGGATATAACCTGAAAGAAAAACAAAACCAAACTCCTCAGGACTTCATCCAAGAAAAAAACTGTCCATATCAGGCAGATTGCATTACAAATCATATTCAAACAAACCAATAAAAATGTGTTCAAGATGAAACAAGAAGCATGTGAAACTGATGAATGGTTAAAAACTCAGCAAAGCCATTTAATGGTGAAAATTCAGATGTCTGCTGCTTCTTAATACTGACCATTAAATAATGCAGTTTCAAAAACAAAATTATTGGCCACTCCATTGTGTATTATGTGATTTGAATAAAATATAAGTGCAGTACCTCTGACAAAGTGTTTGTCCCCAAATTTCTGTCCTGCTCTCAATCCTGCACAACCAGCAATGCATGTTGTGGCTCCTGAGAGTAATCCAAAGCCCAGATAATACTTTCCACTTCCCTATGGATAAATGAGATGTTGAATTAATATCACTCAATGTGTCAGTTGCAAAAAAATTTGAATACATGGAGTGATTGGAGAAAAGAACGCAACAAATTTTCAGTTTGAGGAACACATACTGCATCAATTACAGTTTTTGATTCACTAATATGGATAAATTTATTTTGTCACCTGCTTTGAAACTTCCCTTTTTGTTTTATGTTGAGGACATTGTACAGTATATATACACCACACAAATGACCTTATTTTTATTGCTACTGCTTTGGGGACAACAATAACACCATTCTATCAATAAGGAACTCCATGAATGCCTGCTGATGCCACAAATATGATAGTATTTTATCCTGCTGAACACCAAACAAGTGCTGCTACATCAGTACTCACAGGAATGGTGTAACCATAAATCCCCAGTGCAGCATTAACCATTCCAGCTATGATCAAGGCAAGTCCAGTGCCAGCAACAGTTCTTCCCACTGCCCTCAAAAGCTTTTCTTCTCGTTTCTTCCTCCCTTTATTATTGTTATCAGTAGACACATCAGCCTCCTCATCAGCAGACACAGCCGCTGGAGACGTGACTCTTGATGGAGACGACCTGAACGGTGTAGGCGGTGACGGCATGTACTGACACGCCGGCAACACTGTGACTGGGACCACTTCAACGGCATCCGCGTCATCCGTTTGAGTCCCGTTGGATTCGTATGACGCATACTGCAGTGAAGGGTCCCCGGATGCGTGCCACCATACCGGGCGATTGTTGCCGGGAACGTCCATATGTCGTACGCCCCTGTACGGTATTTACCGCTGAATTTAAAGAAATATCGCTTCACTGCTCCATTCACGAGCACAATTTGCCCCGTGCTGCATCAAACAACACACACAGCACGGCCATCATCCTGACATTTTTGATCATAATAAATACGCAACGATTTAAATCATGTCGTCCTTATTATTGGCTTGGGGGAATCAAATGTAGATGAAATCTATGCTTAGGAAACTTCAGGGACCAAGTGAGAGCATATATCACAATCCCAACGAAAAATTTCTTAAATTGAGATTCCCTTGATTTTCAAATCAAAACTTTTTTTCCCCATTCAAAAGCATCAATTTTAAAACGAAAAATGAATTTTCGTCTGAGAAACATAAAAATCCATCACAGCAAAATGTCTCCTGTTTTTCGACCTTTATTGTTACAAAATGTTCTTTGTATGGGAAGCAGTGTCAGACTATAGGATTTAAGTACAATAATTGATACAGTATATTGACCAAATTTTATGGATTTCGAGTCAAAATCTTCAACTATATTTTTCTTCCATCTATTTAGTGAAAAATAAGAATTTGATCAACTTATTTTTCACTAAAAGAACTGAAGAAGCATCCAGGTGAACTTATAAAATTATTAAAATACTTCAGTAGTGCCATATAATGAGAGTTTACAGTACTTGAGAGCATCATTGCTTTCATCAACTCAGAATATGAATAATAATTGTATTAGCTGTTTAACCCAGTTTTATTTCACACAGCAACACAATTTCAATTTCCCTTGCGAATCACTTTTCAAGCATCTACATATTTTATTCAAGTACTGTACAATAATATCAAGTAAGCAACAACTGCTATGTGGCAACACTTCGTGGAATTCATGGCGCTACAATCCATTGCCCGTATGGGACGCCACTCGATCTTCAGCATCTTCGGGAAACAATCAGTTTCAAATCTAACCTGCGATGGTCACTCGAAATTGTGTGCGTTCACAGAACCGCGGCTAGTGCAGAACTGAATCACAATCTGGCTGTATTCTCCTGCATTTGGAAAATGGTCTGAATGGTTGTGGGGTGTGTGCAAGTAGTGCACGGTTCATGTGATTCCACTTCCGGAGGTCGGAACTCCGCTGCACGACACAGTGCACTGGATAATTGCGTTGTTGGCGTGATGTTGCTCTAGTGATGAAGAGGGGGTACTACTATATAAGAGCTAAAGGAAGCCGGATGTTAACCCGCCCCTATTTTCCCCTGGGTCGCTGCGGTGTATGGCGTCATGGTCCAAGTGCGATACGCCTTTTCGCTCCTAGGAGCAGAGATAACCGTGTGCTCATCTATCATTAAGAAATCTAAGGGATTTATTCCGTGATTATTCTGAGTGGGGAAACGTGTTACAGACCGGATTGAATTAATTCGATCCGATGTGACAAATAAGTGATGATGTTCGTGCGCAAGCGCGCGTGTGCAGGGATTTTCTTGTAGATTATGCGGATTTTGGCTGAGGATGTGATTTATATGAGATTCTGTGAATGAGAATCCAGATTTGCAAGCTGGATTAGTTCCTGGAGTTAACAAAACCCTTGAATTTTCGGCTTGATTGCTGGCGGGCTGACGCATGAGTCAATATCCAACTCTATTGCGGCGGTATTCGGAGCCATATCCTCGGAGTCATCATCATACACAGGAACATCCGTATTCTTCAGAATTTTAGAGAATGAAGGTACTGCGGTTGTTCATTTCAATTATGTTGTATCAATCTAGACGCATACACAAAAATTTGGAATTTTTTTGTCTTTCGACAGTGCTTATTCTTGTGAGCAACTCATGATGCTGCGGCCCATGGGGAGAACTCATATTCTAAGAGACGACGGGTAAAGTGATGCCGTACGTGTAACGAAATACGAAACGAATATTGTACGTTTGTGTTTTATATTCTGTTCAGATATGAGGCATATAAATTATGAACAACGAAATTCTTCAATCATTGGAAATTGTGCGATACTACGCCATTATAATGACGAAGCAATATGTTCATCATCATGTAACTTGATCATTTTGAGTTGTACCGATCAGCGTTCATTTCCTGCGAGTTTCCCAGCGCGGAGTTCGTAAGGAAAATTTATTTGCAACTGATGGAGCATTACGTTTTCTTGGACTTGAATAATTTATATGAGTTATTATACGATACTCAGAATACAGTAGTATTATGCTCGGTATCTCGGTTCCTTCACTTCATGATGTCAACGTCGGACATTATATTTGATGGTCTCAATGAGTATATGTACAGTTCTCTGTCAGTCTGTTGTATATAAACTGTACATTAACTCATATACTTCATAATCAGAAGAAAATTGTTCGTTCATCTTCCTCGTGAATGATAGATAATAAGATGAGAAGTATACAAATAGCGATAGGTTTATATGTGTCGATATCTCCGTTTTCTTGAATGTGTGCTTATTTGCAAACGCATTGCTTAATTGCTGCTTTCATCATGCTGAAAAATGCATTCGAAATGGCAGAAGCTGCAATTTTTATTTCCTTTAATCCACGATCGTCGAGCTTCTGTAGATTACGCTCAGGATTTAATAGCATTTTGCGGCCCATCCGTATGCGCATTTTTTCGCGTTTTAATTTTGTTACGCCCTTATTTGTCTGAATGTATAACCAATCTGAATACGCATCACGTAGGACCCTACAACATTTTCTGATATTAATTCTAAACGGAAAATATGAGTTCAGTAGTGTACCTGATGAAGACTGACATTTCATGGATGCTGGTGTATGATAAATCACGGCCACCCCAGCATAATCAATCTTAAATGGCCACATGCTGTTATATTATACAGGTGTCCCGGATTTCCACGGGGAGTCTTTCTGTCCGTTGCGTTTAACGACCAGCTGTCAAAAAATGCAAATCGTGATATAATCGCCTGATATATTTTCCTGCTTTCCGTTCTTATAGTTACTGTAGTTACGTTGGATCTATACAGCATCTGTTTAAAATTATCGACAGTCAGGATTGTGCTAAAAATTGATCCAGCAGCGCTGCATCAAGTGCTGCGTTGCTAATGATTTAGATGAGCTGTTTTTTACTTCTGTGTTATACTGTGGCACTCCCAGTTTAATAACTGATCGTGATATATTGAGTATAATAGGTGCCACTTCAATTTCGAAGATGAACAAAACTAACTCACTGGATCAATCTTGAAATCAAGCAGTGGAATTCCTTTGCTGTATGTAAAACTACGTACTTAGCTCTACGGGGTATGGGATGCACAGTACGAGATAATCCAATTGTATTACAGCACCGTAAAGTATGTATACTTGTACTATATTCTTGAAATGTCCTATCCATGCATATACAATATGTAATGAAAACGGGCACTCTGCGGCAATCGTTGTACGTCAATTGTGAGGAGTGACATCTAGGCAGTTAAGACTAACATTCAACTTCTTTTGGGAAGCCACGAATACATCACAGTGTATGGTTGTTAACAGTCCGTGCTGGGATGTGGAGTGGAGTGGGTGGGGATAGCAAAAACAGTGTACGTATATGAATGGTTAATAACGCTTAGTAAAGTCGATTTCCTATTGGAGGTATGTGATTGTAGCGAAAATCAAAAAGATTCATTCGAGAATCTTGAGTATGAAGGATTTCTGGGCTGTTTACTATTTCCTTGAAAACGATTGTGAAGTTGGGCGCTAGTTCACGCTTATAACTTCACGGAGCAACGGTGAAGGGATTTTCGCATAGCAACTGGAGTAAGTTTCAAGCCAAGACCTGGAACTACTTGTTTGTGATGCTCTGCTTACATATTTCAAGCGTCTTCCGATTCCCCGCGAAAGTTGGTGGGTTGAACAACCGCATCGTTATGGGAGACTGGTCGCGTGGAATGCGAACAAGGCGTTTAGGATTGGCGCACAATGTGAAGTAAACATAGGTGCTACTCGTCCTCCAGTTCTCATACCTGTCCGACTCGCGATGCCGGACGTGATGTTGTTGAAATTGGCCGCGAATTCCGAAATTTATTTGTATTTCACGAGCGGGAGCTATCCGCGTTATTGCCTTGTTTGTGTGGCGGCAGTTTATCGCTTTACCGTTCACAATACATTTTCGGAATATCCTTCTTAGGTTGTTGGTTTGACTGCCCAGTGGAATCAGTGATTCGTGGTCGTCGTGCGCAAAAAGATGCCCCGTGAAATCAAAGAAATCAAGGATTTCCTCCTCACAGCAAGACGGAAGGATGCCAAGTCCGTGAAGATAAAGAAGAATCCGACGAACACCAAGTTCAAGGTGCGATGCAGTCGCTTTCTGTACACGCTTGTCGTGACAGACAAGGAGAAGGCCGACAAGTTGAAGCAGTCTCTTCCTCCTGGTTTGCAAGTGAAGGAGCTCAAGTGAATTCCGATCTACGTCGGCTAATTTGTTGAATAAAATTCATTCACTTGCGGTTGATATTGAGTGCTTCGTGGGTTTTTGCTCATTTTAATCAATTTTGATAATTGTTCCGCCGTTTGAATTTCAAATGATCAATTTCCCCTCAACTTGTTCATAATCTTCATTGTTTTGTCACTCATGTTGAATTGAAAGAACGATTTAAGCTGAGCAGTGAAAACTGACCGTGCAAAATTCAAATTTGAGAAAATATCGGGCAATTATTTTGTCGAAGTCATTTTCGTAAGTTACACTGTGCAGTAGTCAAAAAATAGTTTGAATGTTTCAATCCTCTTCAAGGAAAAGAGAGATGAGCCTTCTTGAGGAACTCAATGCAATTCATTGCGGTTGAGGGTACTTCGTCATTCGAAATTCGACGTGTGTCTTGAGCTCATTATCCTCATTTGTCGGTTAATTGTGAAGCAAATAACCATCTTGATGATGCTGTAAATTCTTGTCAGGCGTGAAAAAGTCACAAAACGGGGAAAAAATGGTCGAGTGAGTGTTTTTGTTGCCATGGCGACGCGATTTCAAGACCGTGTATCTCTGTTTGAAGCCAAGGACGTAACCATGATGTTCAATTCTTCTCAACACGCTGACAAAGACTCTGTTCCGTACTTTCTCCGGAATCTTCCTTCTTTCAACAAAGAAAACTTCACCCGTTACAAAGCGGACTCGTCATCTCAGAAGAAGCCCATTGGAGTGTATGTATCAACAGTATCTGACCCATCTGCTCAGGTACGCTTTTCCTTTACAACTTGATGGCGTTGTGATGTGTGAGACGCGGTGTTTTGCATTAGGTGATAGTGAACGACGATACGAATATTTTGTTGCGTCATCTTCGCCGGGAAGCTACGATGGTCCTGGATTCCGGTGTGAAGCGTCATTTGTCGGATGATCGCGGTGACAGGAAGAGAATTCGTCTCAGTGATCGTACGGCCAGACCGTCTCGCGAGAACTGAGTCAGGAAATATTGCACATACAACTGTTCCGCATCTTCTTTTGATAAGCATACCTGGTCTATTTTATTCCCACTCCATCTCGTTGAAAGCGTTGCTCGAGAAGTTTATCCACATCCGCTCGCTGCGATTTAGTTCTTCGAAAGCCAGTGAACTTATTCTATTGACACAAAATTGGACGTCATTCTGGGTCCTTCAAAACTATTTTCACACATCTGTAGACGATGGCATTACTTAATTCAATTTCCCCGCGTAAATGATGTATTTGCACGCCTTTAAGACGCACTTTTCAATGTTCAACTCGATATTCAGGATGTGCTTTATATTTTATCGCAGAATGCTAATGTATCCAAAAAATCTGCCTTCATATTTGTTCAAATATGGGATGATTTAATCGAAATACTGAGCAGTGATTCGAAATTGACAATGCATCCCAATTACTGTATTTACTCAAATACCACGTGCACCTTTTTCTCAAAATTGAGAGGAAGAAAGAGTGAGCGCGTCATGGGCAGGTAAAAATATAAAGTTCAAAAAGTGTATGTGCACGTTGTACTTCGTTTGAGTGTGAAATTTTGGACACATTTTATCAGAAAGACATTTTTAAGGGAAATAAGTGGGAATTATTTGAATCCAGGTTTGATTCATGTCTGAATTCAAATTCTGGTGTGTGTCATCTTTGAAATATTGCTGTTTTAGAATCCCTAAAAATGTGGTGCACCTCCTACTCAAGGATAACATTCTACTAAAATTTTATGCTGAAAAATCCAGGCGTGCGTCTTACTCGAAGGTTCGTAGTTCTCAAATAAAATATGTTAGTTGACCAGATGTTCTGAAGAGTAATGCGCAGCTTAAATTCTTTTTTTGACTCGGAAGAATCCTTCTTTGACGCTATTGATGAAAGCAGCGAAGAAATTTCCTTTCGTATTAAGAATAGTGTATGGTAACTAACTGGCTCCTATCAAAAACTTCCCAACGCAGTCGACGTGTGGATGAACTTTCGAATAATTTTTTCTTCCCCATTTTGCTGAATAAATTCGATTGTGTCGCGCAGGAACAAAGATGAAACTGTTGGTTCTCCTGTGCGGCCTGATCTCCGCGAGGGCCGAGATGTTCACTGCTATCAGCCACATGGAAAACCTGCTTGTGGCGGAAAGTGAAGTGATCGGTGCGATGTCGCGTTACTTGGCCAGTGAAGAAGAAAGATTGTCTCGAATCCGCCATTTACTCGGCGAGTACGAAAAGTTTCATTCCGACGCCTCCAGCAGCGGACTCGAGCAATTCCTCGCCAACCCAGTGAACGCCTTTCTCATTGTCAAGCGTCTAACGCGGGACTGGAGCACAGTTCAAAGCGTGATGTCACAGAACCCTGCTGAAGTCATCATAAGCAACATTACGGCGAGAAAGGAAGAGTTGAGTTTGCCGGACGAGGAGGATTTAAATGGCGCTGCCCATGCGTTGCTCCGGCTTCAAGAGACTTACCAACTGGATCCGCATCAAATGGCGCGCGGGGATATTCAGGGGGTTTCCTTCGGCATTGAGCTCAGTGCTGGGGATTGCTTTGAACTTGGTCGTCAGTCTTACGTTTCTGGGGACTATCCGAAGACCATTCAGTGGATGAATGAAGCCGAAGCGAGGTTGCTCAAGGAAAAGGATTCCCCTACTGTGCTAGAGGAGGATATTGTCGAGTATTTGGCCTTTTCCGCATACATGCTGGGTAAGAGAGCAACAGATCAGTTGAAATTCGATTACCGTTGAACCTCTGTAAGTCGAATTTCTAGGGACCAGGAAAAAAATTCGACTTGGGGAGGCTTTGATTCCCAGGGGTTTCCAGTTGAGGAAACAAACACTTTTGTTGTGAGAAGAAGTGGTGGAATAAGTGTGGGAAATCATAAATGAGGATCTTCTCTGTGCCTAAACTTGCTCATTATGAGTCAACACCTTGCTGAAATTGGAGGCAGGTGTTCATTTGCTATATTTGTCTTTCACTTCCTTTCAAGATCCACCAAATTATTTGTTTTAATCATTTTCTCTTCCAAATTTCAAGGAAATATTAACCAGAAGGCCTCAGAAAATTTGACTTACAGAGGTTTTAGAGATAAAGACTTCAAGTTATGGAGGTTTTTAATGTATTGATTCTAAGGGAATTCAGGCAGGGACTTTGGAAAATTGACTAAGGGAGGAATTCAACTTAGGGAGGTTTGACTTATCAAAATTCACCTGTACCATTTTCAATCAAATACCACACAAGCCCATGAGTAAGATGCTCACAGAGGTTTTTCAATTGAAAATTTTTATAAAATCCTATACCTGATTAAGATACGCATTCCATTTTTAGTGATTCTGAAACCAAAATATTTTCAAAAAATAAGAACACCTAAATTTGAATTTAGACAAGAATTTGACTCATTTTCAAGTGAAGTAAGTTTCTTTGTCAAAATTGGTCCTATATTTCCTTTCAGAATAAAGTACTGTGTAATGCAAATCTAAATTTCTGATACCTAAAAAACATTTATGGTACTTTAGTACAGTACTTGCATATGACGTGCTTCCTTTTTTCTTTTCAAATTTGAGAAAAACAGTGCGCATGGTACTTGAGTAAATGCAACAATTATTGCATAAATGCACATCAGAAAAGCTATAATGAGCAAGCAAACTCAACTGCAAAAGTACTATACTTATCTGTGTACTGTACCATGTTTCCCTGAACAAGACAAACTCCTAGAATTTTTCAGTCTATAAAAAAAAATCCTGTCCTCCCCTGTAAGATAAGATACCCATGTTTTGTGACAGAAAAACTGCAGTATTTCGTACATAAGACGCACCAAAATTTAATTTGGACATAGACTGAACCTGAATTCAATAAAATTTCACTCGTTTCCCGCAAAAAAAACATGTCTATTGAAATTGGTTCAAAAATTTCCCCATGGAAAATGAAGCGAGATGTGCACCCTCTTTTCTCTCTTCTCAATTTAAGAAAATAGATTCGCGGGTCACTAGAGTTTGTGCAGTGGTAAATATGAAAAGTGATCAATGCGTTATCGCGTATTGAATAATTAGGTATAAAAACGGAAATTCGCAGAAGTGGAATTTGGGAGAGGTTGTTGTAATGACAGCACACATTTGATATTTGCTCTAAAGAGCATCTGTGAAAACCAACGTTAAATTTCGACGCTAAAATCCGTCTTCGTGACATGTAAATTGCAGATTTATAAAAGAAGTGGAATACTGTACTGAAAGTATTTGTTGGGGGCACAACAGGCATGAATGCTCATGAAAGCGAGTTCCTGAAGTGCAAGTGTCAGATTATCACTAATCCAACCTTTTACTTTCGCCTGATATTTTGAGCTCTTTTTTATTTTTAAATCCATGAGTATAGAATTATCAATTTTACGAAGATTACTTGTTTGTAGACTTCTTCAAAAATCGCATTCTCTCTTGCTAAAGTCGGATCTGATGATTATTATACTGTACTTATCACAGAACTCTTGCTCTTTTGGGAACTTGGTTCCTCATTTGTGTAAACCTTCTGATTGCGAATCGTGGTGACAGATGATGTCGAGGGAGCCTTGAAACTCACCAATCGACTCTTGGAGCTCGTTCCAAGTCATCCGAGAGCCACCGGGAACAAAGTTTATTATGAAGCTTCGATCCGGAAGCTTCGGAGGAATCGTATGGGTGACAGTGACGATTCTCCCTATGCTGATAATGTGAGTTTTCTTCACTGTCGACAAGCTTCTATTTTCTTTTGTTTGAGCTGCAATCTTCACTTTTTAATGCTTCCAGATGCGAAACTGTAAAGAATACAGTCAAAGCTCAATAAGCCGCCACCGTTTGTTTGCGAGGTTTGTGGCGGTTTACCGGGTATTTAATGAAAAAAAAGCCAGAATCATATGGATGTTTGTGAAGTTGGTTAGGTTGTGGAAATCTTGATTGAACCTTGTGAATGCTGAAAAGCAGCAAATAAAGTGCTCTGTTCATTCATTCATTCATATGGATGTTGAGTACTGTACAAAAGGTAATACATGGAGAATCCAAGATGCAGACGTAATTGGTCCATAAAGAGTGTCCCTGAGTTGAAATGTCCCTAAGTTGAGTCTTGTTTTCCCTTAGACTTACATTATATAAATTTTAATTGGTGTTTTATGGAAGAAATATTCATCAGAATTCCATGAAAAAATGGTAACAATTGTCTGCCAATTGAAAAAGATTCAGTCAATATCTTTCAACTCTATAAGGACATTCAGAGCATTGCTTACCTCTGTACAGTACATTGAATTTGAGGGGGTTTTGATGTGGAAATCTTGATTGAACCTTGTGAATGCTGAAAAGCGGCAAATGAAATGTTTTGTTCATTCATTGAATTGTTGGCATTATCTGTAAAAATAAAATTTAATTCAAAAATAGAAAAGGAAGTTCCACTTCCTGATTAAAAAAGGCTGATGGAAAAGGCTGAAGGTAATTTTTTAAATTATCTGAGTGGATGGTAAAAGCATCAGAGAAATGCCAAAAAACTTTTCTCACGTAGATCTTATGGTTGGAAGTATCTGTTTCCTGACATTTGGCTTGAAACTTAATTTGCAATTTTAGCACAAAATATCCACATGTCAAGTCAGTGTCTGCATGTCAGTCCTTTTCAATGCATTTTTTAAAATAGGAAAATAAGTGTCTATCAAATTGTCTGCCTGACAAGGTGTCTGCATGTG